CACACACACACACACACTCGCTTAGCCTAAACAGCCCTCAATGCCAGTCCCATAATATAAACCCACCCAAGATGCATGTCTACAAATACCCTCCACGCTGGTCAACAGCTCAGAAGAGTTGCAGCCATCATCAGCTTTGAGGTCAGAACTCCACAGAGGAAAGAGACGATTTAAGGTGAGTTTAGTTTGGTTTATTTTGTAACTCAGTTGCTTGAGTGTGTGACTGCTACTGACTCTGGTTGTCTCACTCCGGCCAGATGCTTTGCTCCAGGTGTGTGCTACCTTTCCTGGCTCTTTACATGCTGCTGGAGGAGATATCTGCAGCTGTATTGCCCAGCATCAGGAACAAAAGGGTAAGATTTATACACACACCCTTAAAGACAAATCAAACACCTGCAGGCATTTAACCCTGTGCAGTCTTTTTCTAATTTGATTATCGTCCTCAGGAAGTTAACTGGCTGGACCAAGAGCTTTTCCCCCGTCTGCTTGACCGCTCAGACCAGAGAGACCTCTCTGTGGGGGACGACGGGAAGGTGGGCAGGGATGTGGACGGTCGCCCATCTCATTCTGAGACCTTCGTCGCCCCAACAGAGCAACTTTCTTTCCAACGCCAGAGCCAGTATCAGTACCAGCGTAAAGCCAATGAAAAGAGGTAAGGAAATCTTGTATCATGCGGTTTGAATGGTAGTTTTTTTTAGTCAGACATAATGAAACAAATGCAGGATATAAAGCTTTAAAAATGTGGCCTGTGTCTAATGAACAAGTTAGGGTGATTGGAAATGTAATTAAATCACAATATAGGTAATTAACATGTTTTATGTCCAGTATCATCTAAAGAAATGTGATAAATTTAGTTTATTCTTCATTCAATTGAACACACATATGATTTCTAACTTGAGGATGTGTAAATCTTTAAACTGTGTAAAGTTTAAAGTTTTTTTTTGGAGTGTGTGGGATTTAGTGTGAATGAAAAGTATAAGTTATATATTTTCAGTCAACATACATCGTAGAAATTAGGTATTTTGGACTAAGCTTGTCGGTCCCATATTGCTGTCTCTACAGGAGGAAGGTTGCTCCTCTGGACTCCATTGGTGGATTTCAAATGTCCAGTTTCCGAAACAGAAACGTGAGTTAAAAGAGAAAAAACTTCTAGAAACTATACTGAGACAAACAGTGGACAAGTTGTCAGTATTTCTTATGTCACTTGTTTCCAAAGCAAATCAGCCTGTATCACAATGACATTTAAATGCCACCTGCTCTATACACACACACACACACACAGAGACACACAGACAGAGACACAGAAGCAGTAATGGCAGTTTTAATGAGCACTATCAATCTCTGTCACTGTTTAAATGTTACGATTTCAATAGCAGGCTTGAATGTCCATGACGTTAGTTTGTCTTTGTCTTTGTAGCCTCCAATAGAGTTTAACAATGGTGTCTGGTGCAATGGTTTGAGTATTTAAGAATTCTGTCGGGTGAAATATTGATCATGTTTGTGTTTGCGTTACAGGATGAACCTGACATCCACTGGGAAGAATTCAGGGAATAAACAGCAACTACAACAACTGAGCTCAGTGCCACTCCAACACATGAACTTCTGATATATTCCATATTTATTCATTATTTAACTCACTGCCATACTAACAAGTGAGATACCTGTCGACCCACTCCCCCTAGTGGTGGAGGACAGAAACAAGACAAACACCCTTGTGTGCAAACATCTAATTAAATGTAATGAAGTAACTTGTTGTGTCACTCTTTTACGTGCAATACAAATGATTAAATATACCACCTTACCTTTATGTTCCCAAAGACTTTTATTTTTCAAGCTACAATTAAAGAAAACAATATCAGACTGCAGAAAATATAGATTTTGCTTGGGTATTTTCTCTCTTCACTTTCACATATGTACAGTTGTCAAAGAACAGGATATGTACACAGAATTGATGCTGTAGAGAGAGTGCAACTGCTACTGGAGACTTACCAAGACACTCCCACCAACAAAAGAAAATGCACATGGTAAAACCAAACAACATAAACAAATGCCACAACCTAAGCGGCATCAACATATTTTCTGTACACTACAACTTTTGTTCTCGATGTGAGACAATCTTATGTCCATTCTCTGATGCGGGCGCACCTCTAAACCCGCTTCTCAGAAAGCTAAGAAATAAACAATTACATGAAACAGAAAAACAAATATTTTACAACCATTCATAAACAAGCCTCAGAGCCACTTTGATATTGTAAAGCACTGCCAAACCATTCGTTTTACAGCAACATTACCCCCTCATATCAGTTGAGTTTTTAACATGAAAAACAAAAAAAACAAAAACAAAAACAAAAAAAAAAACACACATGAAACAAAAACATCAAAATTGAACAATTGTCAATGTAAATGTTGTTCATGGTAAATGGCTATCAATGATTAACAAGCCAGACAGGGAGAAACATTAAGCGCTCAATCATGAATGTACACAGCTACATGCCAAGTACAGTTTTTAAATCAGCCGTAGCTCATCATATTCCAAATACACATATATGCAGTAGAAACGGTATTTGGGTCCATTTTTTTTTTTAAAAAGTGCACCGTCGAAAGAATTGTCTATGTGCAACTTGAAATGTAGCAATTTAGATGCAAATTTCAGATGCAAAATAGTTAATTTTAAACAGATTGTATGAATTCAAAGATCACTTATTCTAGAGGAGTGAGATCTCTACATTTTAAAGTTCAGTGATTATCACTGACGACCGAAACAAAAACGCAAACTCAAAAATAAAATCGCCAAAATACGATCAAAAATAAAATGAGCTGCCCACCTTTATCACATACTTCTAAACAAACACCAGGAGTGACATTTTCCCATCTCTTAAGCTATAAATTGTTTGCCAATGTGTAAAACTTGCGTTGATTTAAAAGTTGAGAGGAAACCGCTATCAAACTGAAAATGGTACTCCTTGAGACGCTAAAGGAAATTTTCACTGATTTTTGTCGACATCCTCAAGAAATAAAGTCAAAATGCACCGTCAGTGAATATGAGACTAAGCGTGAAAATCGATGTCCACATCACCAGCACAGTATAAATCAATAAAGCCAATTAATAGAGGAATTAATTAGTAACAAATAAATGATTCTCCACTGTCACTGTCCCCTTCTGTCCAGTTCTTCACAGTAGCCAAAAAAAAAAAAAGTAAGAAAAAAATAAAAGTGAGGGATAAATAAGAATGGTTGTGATTGTCAAAAGAAATCCTACAAAGTGACAATACAGTTGCCATCCAGGTGATAATTTAGGCTGTTTTGGCTGTAGGCATCAAAGAAAACAAGTGTCAAGAGGACAGCAAAAACAGGGTGGGTGCTCCGCGTCCCTCCAGTCCTCTTCATCTCTAGGGGTCTTTTTTGTGTCCCGACCGCCGCACGTCCCTGCACTTGTGGCAGTAAAAGATGTCGGGAACGTTGGATTTCTTGATCTTCGCACACGACAAGTGCACCCAAATGCCGCACTGGTTGCACTCGATCATTGGCCGCCCCGCGAATGGCTTCCCACAGTAACAGGTGATCAAGTCCCACGAATCGTCGCCTGCGTTCACAAAGAGAAGAAAGTTACAGGATATTTTAGCTGATGAGAAGTCGTCAAACGGTGCGCATTAAAGTAACGAGACAGTTTGGTTTATTAGACTCAGATATGATCATCTTAACAAATTCAAGCTTATAAATCATACCTGACTCCACCATAATGTCTTCATCGGCGATCCAGGTCTCACCCTCACTGGAGCTCATCTCTGCTTCCCTCATCGACTCGTCCGCCTGCATCTTCGCCAGGCCCTGCATGCTCGGGGTGGAGCCCCCGTGCACCGCCAGCTCCTCTCTGATGGGTCGTACCTCTGAATGTGTATGCCGTGCCTCAGAGTCTGTCTCGCTTTGAGCCGTGGAACTTTTCAGCTTCTTGGGCTTTGGCTGTTTTGAGTTTTTGCTGCGTTTAATGCGTGCTCTTTTCTCGCCTTCGCTGCTGCCACTGTCTGCCGCCGTCATAGCCGAGCCCAGAGACAACTTTTTAAGTTTTTTGTCCTTCTTGCGCTCCGCCTTAGTGCTCGCCTGGCTCTCATACAAAGAGTCTTTAAGGCGCATCTTGTCCAGCAGAGTGCTATCAGAGTGCATGCGGCGAATACCTTTGCCCTTATTTGCTCGAGCTTTGCGGACAAACGTGTGGATGGTGTGGATGTCGGAGCTCCCGTCTGGCCAAGTGTTGCCCGTGGAGCTGCTGCCGCCGCCGCCTCCATCGGCTGACAACCCTGAACTGTGTGCAGAGCTGGAGGATGTTGGGGACCATGAACTTTCCTACAGAAAAAAAAAAATAAAAATATTGGTGTTTCTTCACAACTTGAGCAAGCCAGGCCTGAGCAAGCAGTCGTTTCTAATATCCACAGTGACATTTAAAGCAGCTTACCTCTTTTGGACTGGGGATGTAGCCCGCATACGCCAGGACGAAGCTGCAGAACTTGTTGAAGTCCTCTACAGTCCTCTTTTTTCTCTCTGGGGGCTACAGAAAGCAAAACATTTTGTGTAAGACACTGAAACACGCTCAAGACAACACAAAGCTACGGAGTGAATCACTGGAGAGGATTCAAAGTGACATTACAAAGTACTCACCAGAGATTCCGTTTTGCACGTCAACAGTGAATCTGGTGGAAAGGACAAAAAAACACAAAACACAATTCTGTAAGTCACAAATGAACCCGTGTTAAATGTGCACCAAGCAGCTGATGTAGAGAGAAAGATGAAGCACACGGTTGAAAGGGTGTGAAGAGACACATGTGGACCAACGCTAGCATTAGCGCGCTAACACGGATCAATAACTCAATCGGGGATATTAGTGGTGACCACGCTGGGATTACTGAAGAGCCAGGGTCTGTTCAGCTACGTTAAAACTGACCGACGGCTCACCGATAATCGTGTAACCGGAAAAATAAGCAAAAATCAGCCATCGGATGATAACAAGAGCTGACTGCCAACAAACCGCAACCGGTGTCACCTGAACTGCACATAAAGTCTGCACACAGCGGGGCAGACGAGCGCGGATCGATTCAGTATTAAAAAGCGGTGTTTGATTGTGTAAGAGAGACGCTAACAGAGACACAGGCTCGGTTTGATGGCTGCCAATCACCAAACCTTCAGTGTCGTCCGGGTGCTGCCTGCTAACATTAGCTGGCACTCAACAACAACGCGTTGTGCAACAGTGCGAGTCCCCCACTCCGCTTTATGGTTGTTAATAATAACAATAATGACAATAATGATGGGCCGACACGTATTCCTGTAAGAGCTGTGCTAACAACCAGGCTCTCGGTCAGCTAGCTGCCCTCAAATGGGAGTGGGAGGCTCGTTAGCGGCGTTAGCTCGATGCTAACCAGGCGCAGCCTTCAATCGGCCGTGTTGAAGTTTGAGCTCATGTTAAAACTGCTCTTTCGTGGCTGACAAGTGAGCAGATTTAACGCACAGCTGCCCCGGTGGAGAGTGTGTTTAGTGTCCGGTGAGCGGGCAGCTAGCGGGGGGCTAATAACGTGAAGCTGGATGTGTCGGCGCGTTTACAAACCAGCGAGCTAACTCACCGTGAGACACTATTAGCTCCTTTAATCGCAGCGAAACAGGCGATTTATTCACTTTAACGCGACTTTAGTGGTATTTTAAGCGGGTTTACACGTTGTTGAAACAGCGAGCGGTGTTATTAAAACAGCATACGCAGCCGACACGAAGCGCTGCACGGTAAGTTATCGTTTCGCTCAACGTTAGCCGTCTTAATGTGAGTAAAACCCCGCAGACAGCGAGCAGATTAACGTTTAATGTCTCCAAACACCGGTTCTGCTTCAAACCTACCTTGGTGCTCGGACATTATGTCAAGCATTGTCGCCTCACCGACAAGGCCTCGATCCAAGAAGCAAGCAGCAGGCGAGCTAGCCGGAGAGTAGCGGCCGTCGCGCTGTGCTTTCCCCCGGCGTGGCTGCACCTCACCGCCGGGCAACTGGAGCAACGAGCCGACGAGAGGACCGACGAGGAGACTCTTCCTTAAAGAATAAAACACATCCACTGCGGGTCGAAGTTGCCCCTCGATCCCGTACAGCAGCTCCGTCCGTGAACGCACCAGCAGCAACACACACACACACACACACAACCACACACACACACACAGCCTCTGAACTATCGCCACACTAAACGTTACCAGCCTTGATAAAACACTAATTCCTCCGTCGCTTATAGCTGCTTTTCTCCGTCACTGCATTTATATAACCACCGGCGCTGAAAGCTGAAACTCCCTCAGCTAAACGCGAGCGCTAGTGGATGTAGCTCCATAATGGCAACTTCTGCTGTGAAGTTTCTCTCCTTTTTTTTCGGTCGTTTCTTCGCCGTATGCACACAAAACGACTGGAGTTTTGACTTTATTCCGCACGGTCCTCTCGGTGCGCGGCAGAAACCTCTTGAGGCTGCCAGCGCAATGTTTCCCGCGGTGCATGCTGGGTAGTGTAGTTTATCGCGCAGGCGTTCGGCGTGGCACCGGGCGGGGTCGTGCATGTTCCTGGACTACATTTCCCACATGTGGCCGATATTAGAGCCGGGAGGGACTTTGGGAGGTGGTGTTTTTGACTGTGTGCTCTCCGAACATGCTACCTAGCGATTCATGCTGGGAAAAAACATCTTTGTCACTGTGAAATATACGTTTCTGCGACTTTAGGGGATCGATAATCTGAACTTTGAGAGATGTGGCTCTGCTGGTGTTAAAGTACTGAGTGTTATTTTGGTCCTCACGTCTGAATGTGTGGTGAATAAGAAGCATGCTAAACTAGCTGCAGCTAACTCACCTGGACCTAAATATAATTTATTTAAGTGGTACAATGTTAACTGAATTATTGCAAGGCACCGATGCTGGAGGATTTCTTTTAATACAAGGTAATTGCTTTAAATGTCATGTAGAATTTAAGTGTTTAAACTGGGAGCAATAACATCAGTGTTATGTATGTGTGAGCCAAAGTAATGGCTTACAGTGAAGTCGTGTAATTTATACTTGCATTGGTAGATTCTGCTTGTCTTTCTGGGCGACACCTCCTGAAGAGCTTCGTCAATGCTGCGTTGAACAGGTGTGGTTTGGTTATGTATATGCTGTCATTTATTAATGTTGTCTTAAGTTTTGTTTTTATTGGGGAAAAACCGAAATAAAAACCTGTCTTTACCTGTGTTACAAACGTAGGGAGGAAGCTGTCCATGTCCTCGGCTTTGAGGTCAGTGAGGAAGAGCTGAAGGATGGCTTGAAAGGATCCCCCATTCAGAGGTAATTTAAGATTAGTGTGATTAGTGCATTAAAATAAAGTTTACAGCCACCTGATCTGTTATTGGTTAATAGTATAAGTTGTGTATCAAGCTAAATGTGAAGTTTACTGCTTCCAACTTTTCTAGTGTGAGAATTTGTTGCTTTTTTTCCTGTTTATATTTTTGTGAGTGGAATTTTTAAATTTGTTTTTTACTGTTGATCAAACAAAACAAGTGAATACGTCACTGTGAATTGATTAAATTGTATTGCATGTTTTCACAATTTTCTGACATTTTATAGATTAAATGATAATTTGCAGCAGCCCTTCCTATTGTGCAGATTATTTAACCTACACTGATCAGCCATAACATTATGAGCACTGACAGGTGAAGTGAATAACACTCATTACTGGTTTATCTGGCTCCTGTCAGTGGGTGGGATATATCAGGCAGCAAGTGAACATTTTGGTCCTAAAGTTGATGTGGTTAGAAGCAAAAAATGGGCAGCGTGAGAATCTGAGCGACTTTAACAAGGACCACATTGTGATAGCTGTACGTCTGGGTCAGAGCTTCTCCAAAACTGCAGCTCAGTACTATCAAAACCTATCAAAAGTGGTCCAGGGAAGGAAAAGCACTGAACCAGCGACAGGGTCATGGGCGGCCAAGGCTCATTGATTCACGTCAGAAGTGAAGGAACTGCTGAAAAAGTTAATACTGGTTCTGATAGAAAGGAGTCAGTTTGTTGTGTATGTGGGCTGCTTAACAATATGACCACCAGGGTGCCTGTGTGGTCATATTGTTATGGCTGATCTACGTATAATCAAACCGACCATTAATTATTTGTGTTTGTCCCGTCAGGCTACACTTTCACAATGCTTATACGGACCCACTTGGCTGGACTGATAACCCAATTTTCACAGTTCACCAGTTCTGTTTGGAGGAACTGACACATCTGGTCAAGCAAACATCACACCCCAAACCAGCTACGTTAGTGATCGACTCCCTTTCGTGGATCTTGAGACACCACAGTGCTCCTGCTGTCTGCAAGACTCTTCAACAACTTAGAAAAGGTGATAAATGATCTTCCTAATATCTGCGTGTCAGCATGATGTCGCAGGTTTTTGGAGTGGTATTGAATGAAGGAAGGTATGACATCCAGGCTGAAAGAGTCGCTGTAAAGCCTTTATCTTTAAGAGAATATTTATTAAATTAAATATTTATTAAAGGCTGCACCACCATATTGTCAAACACATGTATTTTATAGTTATGTGGAATTTAAAAACTACGCAGTAATTTCACTATTTAAAGGTATTTTTCTGTGTTTTCATTAGGGGGAGCTGTGAGAGCTATTATCGCTCTGCTCCATGCAGACATGCATCAGAGGGGTACTGTGGGAAGTGTATGCCAATTGGCAACTTCAGTCGTCACTGTAGCACCTGGGATGAAGGGAGACGAAGCAGTGGCAAAGATAACAAAGCGCTCAAAATCGGGGAAAGTTATGCAAGATGTACGCCGTGTTAAATTTGAATTTTAAAAGTACTTTGTGTTCCTACACTGTTAAAAATGATTGGTAACTTTGTTTTTGGGGTGTTTTTTTGTCCTTTAGGAGGAGATTTTCAGCATCAAAGAGGATCTTACAGTCGCAGTGCAGAGCAGGCCCAGCCATCTTGGAGCCAAACAGACTGACCCCGAGGAACAGGAGGTGACCATAACACGAGCTTAATACATTCCCACCATCAATATAATACAGATAGGGTTCAGATATCACAGGACTGAAAGTGTTCTTGTGTCTACAGACGGACCCAACAGCCAACTTGACCTTCAACCTTCGACTGTCTGATACAGAGCGCGAGGCCAAGGAGAAACTTTCTCTTCCCTTTGTCTTCAGCAAAGAGAAGTGAGAAACTTGCCCACAATTCTCGTGTTTTTTAACCGCTTTTCTCTTCAGTGTACATTCCATGTGTTTTATTTCCTTTTTTTATTAACAACAACCTTTACTGCTGCCCCCTTTTTCTCTTACAGGAAAACAGCTCTGCTCCATTCAGGTCCAGGTTCAGGACGAATTCTGTATGAGCCTGATGCCAATGACGACTACGATCAGGAGGACCCCGACGATGATCTCGATGTGTAGGGCAACGAAGAGCCACGGTTCTCCCTGCCATTCAAGACACTGAGTCGTTTTCAGTAGTGAAGATACAAAGTTTTATCACCGTCTCATTTGAAGATATAAAATAATGAACAATGTTTCTGTAAAACAAAAATAAAAATAACCTGTATGTTTATTAAATTGATGATTCAGTTTTTTTTTTGTTTTTTTTATTTATTTAATAAAAATATGCTTTTATCTGACTGTAAGTTTATGTCACACTTTGCTTTTTCATAAAAATGAACATTGTACAATCCATTGCATGGAAGTGTTGCTTTTATCAGTCATCCAGCTGACTCCTTACACTGATTAAAGTGATATAAAAGAAAATCATCATGACTGGAAATAACCATGATACAATACATTCATATGATACAATGTTTTGCAAGTGATGTTGACAAATTTGGATTTGTTAAATGTGTTTCTACTGAAACCGTTTCCATTTATAAATAACACCTAAATAATGAGCTATTTGCATGGCAGTGTCAGAGGAGACTTTATTAGTTTGAAGTAATTAATTAAGTGTAATTATCTTTTTCTCAGCTGTAAAAGCTGCCAAATATAATTTACAGTCTCAGTAAAAAACACATCCACCCACGCCCAGTTACATTTTCACATTTTATCATTTTACAACTTTGAATCCCAGCAGCACAATAAGGTTTATCGACACAACCAAACCAGTCAAAACGAGAGTCAAACTTCACGCACAAGCACAAAGAAAGGTCCGTGTTAAACCACGACACTACAAACAAAGTGTGTGTCTGTCTGCTGAACAAACCAGCCTCATAATAAAACACTCGCGCTCGTCCACGTCTGTTTATTTTCTTCCACGTGGACGTGCTGCGCGCAACCCTCGCGGAAGTGACGGCAACGCGGCGATGGCGGCTCGCAGTTTCATTCCGGATTTCCACTGGACTACAAACCGATTTTAACCGGGCCGGTTAGACTTTGGGCAACTTTTGTACAGCCGTCTGTCTTCGGACGCCGCGCAGAGTGAAGTCGCGTTGAACCGGCGCCTGCCTTTGAGCGGCCTCACAGGTTTTTTGGGGTATTTTCGTCCTCGGTTCAAGGTGGTCACCCTGCCGAGCTAGCGGTAGCTCGGAGGCTACGAGCTAACCTGAGATAGCTCCTGAGCTAGCCTGTCAACGAGCTGCGTGCTAAAGGTCCACACAGCAGCAGCTCGGCTCCTCCTCGGACCACGTCCACGTTTGTGTTTCGCAGCTAAAATGCCCTCTGTGTAACGTTTAAGGTGCCACAAGTGTGCAGAGCGAGGTACTCACACGTTTGCTTGGCCTCTTGTTAATTTAAAGTGCTCGTTGTTTTTGGCGGCTCACTAGCAGGCAAGTTGCTTCAGTAATTGCCCCCAGCAGCTTGGGACCAAAGCGTGCTACCCTCTGAGAGTTAAAGTTGAGTTGCTGTGGGGGTCTTTGCGTGCTCGTCAACATGCTGAAGACCCGGCAATGTTTACTTGGCATCCGCACTTTTCTCGGCGTAACGTCGAGAATATGGGGCTTCATCATGTACATCCTCAGGAAGCACCTACGGACGGTGAGGAAGAGGGGGTTGAAACGTGTGGGGCAGCTCGTCCTGTTGTGTGTCTGTAACGAGTGAGCGATATCTTTGTGTTTCCATAGCTCCCATGTGCTTAAACATTGTATTTCAGATCACGTCCACATGTTGGGATGCTCAGAGAGCTGTGTTAGTCACCTGTGCTCTCTCTGTGTGTGTGCATACAGCGTGGTGGTAAATGATAAAGTGTGGACAAATCTCATCGTCTGAGGAGCCTCAGTTCTCCCACTGACGCTTAATAAGATAGGTGTCACACTAATTGCTATGTTAACCTGCGTAAAGATGACTAGGAGTGTCTAAAACTTCATTTAAAAGTTATATATTAAGTAGTGTAAAAGATGTTTGCAGCACAAAAAGTGCATAAAGTGCCACGCAGGATGTAAATGAATGAGGGATTAATGAAAAGAGGTTAAAATAGTTAATATTGTCCGACTGACAGGCTGAAACTGGAGGGTGTTCACAACATAATTCAATTTAAAACAGAGACAACCAGTACATCTTAACACGTTTAAAGCTAAAACCACACACTGTAATGTCACATCGATCCATGATTGTTGCAGATTACATTTTGGTTGATCAATAAGCCCTTTCAGTTCTTAAATAATGTATCTAGGTTGCCGTTCCTGTGTGAGGAGATGGTGTGAATGAACGGCTCATTCGGCTACAGTGCAAAGAGGAAACCTCCCACATCCACAGCGCTAAATTGGAGGAGCAGCCAGTGTGAGCCCGCAGGTCACCTTCAGTCGCTCGCAAAACGCCTCCACATTAAACACGGCATTTAACGGGACAGAAGCCACCTGCTTGTAACTTAGACACACACACACACGCAGGTGTCGTGGAGTCGTTAATAGACGTGCATGTGTGGTGTAATGTGAGTGGACTTCGACTCCGGCTCCGTATCACGCCAACAAAGCTTGGAGGACTGCCCCGTGTGTTGTAATCATCTTTGCCGTGCGAGGTTTGTCTGCCGTTTCATTGTGTGGCAGTAACACTTGCGGCTTGTCAACAGGCCCTGAGAGTTGAGTCGTCCAGTCCATGTTGTGGCTGAAGTGAGAGGGATTATGTCAGCACAGAGAGCGCACTGTTCTCTCTCTCCCTCCCTCCGTTTCTCTCATTCTCACACCGCCGTTCAGCGCTGTTGTTTACTTTATCCGATGCAGTGGAACAATGTGAGGATGTGGCCCGCGGTGTGACGTAGGTCGTCCTATAGATGGCCATCAGGTAAACTACGACAGGTGAAAATCATACTTCAGGTGAGGGACGTTAAGGCCTCACCCGCTCAACACATTTAGAACAAGGGTGTTAAAGCCCCAGTTTGTTGTAACTTTGATAATCCCTTGGCAACTCCTTCTGTTGTCTGTGAATAAGGTAGGCCTCAGGGTGATTTCCCAACGAGTCGATCAATAAAAACTATTGGATTACAAATGTTAAGACCAGGTCATAATCCTGTGCACGCTACACTGCGTCAACACATGACGAGATGATTGTTTATTTATCTTAGTGATAGCAGTGTTATTCAGTGGCTCTGCTTGTTATCTACTGCATGAGACAGTGTGTGGTCCACTTCAGTGTGATCAGTGCTGAAACAATCAGCCAATCAACACTCCTAGCAGCATGACTAGTTGATTAGTTCATCAACAGAAATTTAATCTGCAACAATTTCAAGTATCAATTAATCATTCATGTAATTTTCTAAGCAAAAGCAAAAGGCCCCCAGTTGTTTGTTTTTTAGCTTCTCAGTTGTGAAAATCTGCTGGTTTTGTTAATCTTCTGTGATAGTGAATATGCATAACTTGGGCTCCGTAAACGAATAGATGAATCAAGAACAGAATTAACAAATGAATAATGAATTAAAGTACAGTTGCCAGTATTCTGGTGGTTCCAGCTGTTGCTCTAGAAACCAACATTAATTGAAATGATAGCTGTAGTCCGTATGAGTTTGCAGGCCAGGGGTCCAGGTGGACGCTCGTGGAGGTTGAGGTCCCCCCGTGGTGCCCAGCAGCTGCTGGCACCCACAGGCTTCCCCCAGGCTAACTCTGCCAGGCAGCAGTGGGAGGGGACACAGAGGGAGGCCCTGGCCAACGCTTGGGTAGCACGCAGCCCAGGCTCAGTCAAAGTCACCCTGCAAGTCTCCCTTTCTGTGTGTGCCCCATGCTCCGCTGACACCCACCGACAGCTGGGGGGGGATAAAAATAGCCCTGTGAAGAAAAGTGCAGAGCCCCTGGGCAAGAGCGGCACTGGAAAGGATCCTGTGTGTAGTCCCTCTGACCAGAGCAGAGCGAGGAAGTTGGAGAGGAGGAGTCCGGGGTGGACACACAGAGAGTTGATTTCAGTTTGGCATCCTCTGTTCTCTTGCCCAGTCTATAATAGTAAAAGAAGAGCGCTGATGTCTAAAAGCCAAAATCTAAGTTCAAGATTTAAAGGTTTGAGACCATAGTAGAGAGCCTTACGTCTGGTCTGAATCATCCTTAGCTCAGTTAAGTTCAAACCGTGGTTTTTCAAATTAAATTATAGATTGTGGCAATAAAGATAGTGCAAAGCCGCTTTTTTAATGCCCTGAATGTTTCCCAAAACACTAATCCTAGCTTTCTGTGTAAAATCACACCAAATGTTTCTTTAGAAATGAAGACAGACGTTTAGAGTGTAATGGGAAATGAAAAGAGTGAATGTAGTTCCCCTCTCTTCATCTATAATCAAAGTTCAAACACACACTCCAAATCTATCTGTGGTGCGATTAACTCATTACGGCTCACTGTGTTGTATAAGGTTTGTTGTTTTAACACTGTCCTGATCTGTTAAGTGTTGTCTGACTTCTTCATTTGCCTTCATTTGCAGATAATCCAGTATCAGACGGTGCGATACGACACTTTGCCTCTGTCACCTATCTCCAGAAACAGACTCAGTGAGTACACGATGGTTTTCATGATACAACAGCTCAGATACATTTTCAGGGGGCCCTCGTGTTATAAGACGGTCGAGAATTGTGAGCATGGTTGGAAGAGTATAGCGAATACTTTCTTTTACCTCGACACAACAGAGTGGAGACACTAAAGCAACATATTTGTAATGTGGGAATTTAAGTAGAAGTCAAACCAGTCTGTCAAGTAAGAAGCAATAAGGAAAGGAAAGTTATCCGCAACATAACAACACTCGTGCACAGACACACTCCCAGGGCCATCCTCACCTCAGAGTAAATTAACGTCATCCGTATTTTTGGGCAGATAAACCTTGACATGACTTTGTGTGCTATTGTGTGAAGTCTGTTTCCTCAACAGTGTAGTGAGATGAAATCCTTAGTTACATTTGAAAGCAGAATGACTAACAAGGGATTTCTGCTGACAGTATTCCTAAATTTCCCTCAGACAACATCCGCACTTTAAAGGAAATGTCGGTCAGGTGCACAGCTATAAATGTACAGTGTGAAATGAGATTAAGGCCTGTCGATAAAGCAAAGACAGACACCACTAAAACCACAGCTAGTCACTAACATGTGTGCTGGACATTTAATAAGCTAGTGTAAAATGCCAAGAATGTAGTACCAGTTCTGCATAATGTCGATAATATTATAAATTAAACCACACACCGAGCTTTTACTAATAAAGAGGCAGCGTACAGACCATAGTGTTTATCAAGGCCTGTAACCCGAATGCTAAAATTAAAAGGCAGCCTAATCTGGCAACAGACAGTAAGCCACTGTGGTAGGTAAACAGCCATTGTCCCAAAAAAGCATTTGAGTAAATGAGTGAAAAAAACTCAAATAAATGCAGCTTCCTGCCCTGACTCTCACAGTTACGAGACGTGTGTTTGTGGTGTGGGAGTGGAAAGGAAATGCTAAATGTGACAGGCAGCACTTGCACTAACATGGACCGGTGTGTGCACTCTGAATCAGCTTCCCTTCTGCCCGTAGAGAGCTCATTGAAAAGCACACTCTTGACTCAGAGGAAGGGTTGCATTTCAGTTTCACTCGACTCGCCTCTCACTCGCTACAGTGACCTCAGCTGGAGGTCCGGGTCCAGTCTCAAGTGACTGAGTGATTCCTTTACATTCACTTAGCAGTAAAAGGGTGCTATTTCTGCTGCTATTGACAAGAACGTGGACAGAATAAAAGCAACTGTTTCAACAGCGGTCTCATACCTCACTGTAAGGTCAGCAGAAAGTCCTTGCAAGCCAAAAAACTGCATTAAAGAGCAGCCTTCAGATGAAAGCAGCGTATTATAGTGCATATTATAAGTATTATGGTGCCACTGTCTGGAATGTGACAGTGTGACACAGTGACTAAGCCCATAATATCCCCCTAGTCAGGCTTTCTCCTGATCATAAACCAACAACCTATTTGTACTGTGATAAAAAAGTCAAAGCAAGCTACTTAATAAAACCTGTGTGAGGCTGCTCCCTTCACGTTGTATACCAGGTTGCT